AGGGCCTTCCGGAGGTTCCGGGCGACTCGAGATGGAACGATTCATGAGGATCGTTACAGCAGAGTGGCATAGTAATTTTCTTTAATGCTATAATTAGTTAGCAGACTAAGCTATAGAATGTTAGGTGCACAACAATACCTATAAAGTAGAGATTTAGATAATAGCTAAAGAAAAAACTAAAAACATTAACTAGACTATATAAGTAAAGTAAGCAAACACTTGTTGCTATAAATAATAAATTTACTATATTAATAATAACTACACTACTAGTTACTACTAAACAAAAACATTATAATAAAGGCATTATATTAGTATTAGGTTTTTAGTCTATTTCTTAGTAACAGGAAATTTTAGTTAAGATAGTTATACTTATTGTATCCTATCTAAATTAGTTTTAAAGTAGTTTTAAATATGTTCTACACATTACAGATAGGGACTATTAGCCTATAGAGGGGGGGGTAGTGTAACAATTCTACAAATTGTTCCATCTTAGGTCGCTCAGATCCTATCCAAAGGGTCCCTGTATCGGCCCTGACCATGACTCGACCTAGTCCCCTGCAGTTACCCCTATTCCCTCATGTATTTAGTCGCACCTTGCCCCTGTAGCTAGCTCGGTAGTTTTCTAATATCCTACGTACAAGGCCTATAGATGTCATTGGTATTCCCAGGTCTCTGAGTCCCCACGCACTCCCATATGCCTCTGAGTGGATTCATACCGCATTCGGACCCATTGTCTTGCCTGCGCCGTTACAACTCGTGGGCCTGTGCGCGCGGTACAGCCCGTTCATGGGAGGGGGTTGTAGAACGTCTTCCCTGCAAGACAGACGTTCTGGGATCGCTACTGGTTAGGTAATCAAGCTACTAGCCCCTTCCAACGTCTCTCCAGCGCTAGAAATCGTAGGACACCCATCCTAGGTATTGTCACCGTTTATAAGGATGTCTCCAAAAACCCTGAGAGAACTTTACCAAGCGTTAGAAGCTCTGCACAAACTAGGAAAGTGCTTAGGAAATAAAACGCCAATAAAGTGCAGTTAAAGCGTCATGACATGTGTGGGTAGCACGACATAGACAGATACCGCGAGATGAGGTGATTCGAGATCAATGATACAAATAGAAGGCTATCTGTCCTATCTTACAGTCCATATTGCCTCGTCGAAACGAGATACAAACATAGTGCAACACAACACAACACAACACAACACAAAATCCCAAGGACTTATAACGTACCTAACAGGTTGGCCGGCCACATGTAACGGCGCAGGCAAGACAATGGGTCCGAATGCGGTGGGAATCCACTCAGAGGCATATGGGAGTGCGTGGGGACTCTGAACCTAGGAATGCCATTAACACCTATAGGCCTTGTACGTAGGATATTAGAAAACTACTAAGCTAGCTACAGAGGCAAGGTGCGACTAAATATATAAGGGAATAAGGGTAACTGCAGGGGACTAGGTTTGTAACGATTCTCGTTCCATCTCGGGTCGCCCGGAACCCATCCGAAGGGTCCCCGTATCGGCTCCGACCCTGGCTC